CCAGTTTCTCAAATATTTACCCAGTATACAGATTGAATGTTTTTATGTGCCATGGAGTTGGTTCCAACTCATAGCAGCTCTGTACAGTGTTTCCGAGGCTATAAATCTATACGGGAGCAGAAAGACTCATCGTTCTCCCATGGAACAGCTGGTAGTTTCGAACTTCTGACTGTGAGGTTAGCAGCCCGATTCGTAACCACTATGCTACCAGAGCTTGAATAAGTATGGTGAAACACTACAATCTGTAGCACACCTAATTTCTAAATGATTCAGTGTTCCCTTTTTCTGCTCGAAAGAGTGTGTCTTGCTCTATGTACAGGTTCCTCATGAGCACAATTAGTGTTATGGAATTCTCCGCAGTGCTGTGTATGTATAGTTTGTCGTGATCCATAGACTCGAAAGCCATTACATCATCAATAAAACCCAGGCAAACATCTTTCCTGATGTTCTCTGCTTTCAGCCAAGATCCATCTGATGTCAGCAATGATATCCCTCTTTCTATATTGTCCTATGGCTCTACCTTGAATCTCTTTGGCAGTTCCCTGTCAGTGTACTGTTGGAGGTGTTTTTACTAAAAATTTGCTTGTATATGATATTAGTGATATTGTCCATGGGTTTCTTCATTTTGTTGAGTCACCTCTCTTTGGAATGGGGGCAAATGTTGATCTCTTCTAATCAGGTGGCCAGGTAGTTGACTTCCAAATTTCTTGGCAAAGATGAGTGAATGCCTCTTGTGTTGCATTATTTTGTTGAGAGGTTTTAATTTGTTAATCCTTCAATTCTCGGAGCCTTGTTCTTTGCCAGTGCAAAAGAACTGTGCACCTTGGATTTATTCCTTAGTATTGTTATCCACTAATTATATGCTACATCTTGAAATGGTTGAACACAGACCATTTCCTTTTAAGTACAATGATTCTGTATATTCCTTACATCTTCTTTTGCTGCTTTCAGCATCATTCAATATTATGATAATAGAATCCTTCCGTATAGCAATTTGAGACTTGAATTTTTTTCTATAGTCTTTCAGCTTGAGAAATGCTGAACATGTTCTTCCCTTTTGGGTTCCTAACTCCAGGTCTTTGCACATTTCTTTATAATACTTGACTTTGTCTTCTCAAGCTGCTGTTTGAGATTTTATGTTTAGCTCTTTTACTTTCTCATTTCTTCTATTTGCTTTAGCATCTCATGCAGGAGAGCAAGTTTCAGAGTCTCTTCTGACATCCATTGTGGTCTTTTCATTCTTCATTGTCTTCTCAGTGACCTTTATGTTCTTCCTGTATGATGTTCTTGATGTCATCCCACAACTCTTCTGATTTTCGGTCATTAGTGTCTAATATATCACATCTGTTCTTGAGATGATTTCTAAATTCAAGTGGGATATATCTAAGAAGCTCTGGTAGCATAGTGGTTATGAGTCGGGCTGTTCATCTCAACGTCAGCAGTTTGAAAGTACCAGGCGCTCCATGGGAGAAAGATGAGACTTCCTTCTCCTGTTGAAAATTAACAGCCTCGGAAACCCTATTTAGATTCCCTATGAGTTTAAACTGACTCCATAGCACACTACCACCACCACTGCTGCCATGTTCAAGGTCCTTTTGCCTCTCATAAACTTGCTTTGATTTTCTTCCACTTCAGCCTGAACTTACATATGTGCAATTGATGGTCTGTTCCACAGTCTGCTATTGGCCTTGTTCTGGAGCTTTTCCACACAGTTTATTTTCACAGATGTAGTCAGTTTGATTTCTGTGTATGCCATCTGGTGAGGTCCATGTGTTATAGACATCTTAAGTATTTGCAATGAGCAAGTCATTGCTGTTAAAGTGCCGTAGAATTGGTTCCAACTCATAGTGGTCCTGTTTAGGGTTTCCAAGGAGCAGCTAGTGAGTTTGAATTGCTGACCTTGTGGTTCGCAATCCAGTTCTGATTCATAGTACCACACCAGAAGTCCATTTGTTTTCAGCCTTTGCATTTTAAGCACCAGTAATTTTCATGCATCTTGATGGCTTGTTTGATTAATATTAGACAAGAAGTTTTTAGAATTCTTTAATTTCATCATCACTGACTTTAGTGGTTAGTGCTTCTAGTTGAATAATAGTGATGTTAACTGGTCTTCCTTTTAGGCATATGGATATTTTCCTATCTTATACTTTAAGATAAATCTTGGAATGTTGTTTTGGATTATTAATGTGACACCATTGCTCTTTGATTGGTTATTCTTGGCGGAGTAAACCATATGATTGTCAGATTCTTAATAACCAATGCCAGTCTATTTTAACTCATTAATATCTAGGATATCAATATTTATGAGTTCCATTTCATTTTTGACAGCTTTGAGTTTTCCTATATTCATACTTCGTACATCCCATTTTCCAATATTTAATGGATGTTTGTAGCTGTTTCATCTCATTTTTAGCTGTTCCCCATCAGCAAGAGCATGTTTTCCCCAGTCATATTTTGAGTGCCTTACAACCTGAGGGGCTCATCTTCCGGCACTGTATCTGATAGTGTTCTTGTACTTTTTATCACATTTCAACATTCAGTAATCTGTTGGTAACTAACAGTGTTCCACTAGTATTCATAAGGTTTTCAGTGGCTAAACATTCAGAAGTAGTAAGCGTCTCCTTCTTCCTAGTCTATCTTCCTTAAGTCTAGAAGCTCAGCTGACACCTGCCCACCATGGGTGTATCCTGCTGTTACTTGAAATAATGGTGGTATAGCTTCTGGCATCGCAGCAACACACGTCACCACAGTATGACAAACTAACAGAAAAATGGTGGATTTAAAAAATTAGTAATAATATATTAAATAGTATATACCATTTGTAGTTCATGATGTCTTACATTTCATGACATGTAGTATTTTTTTTTAAGTAGATATTCCTGTAAAAATTCTTATATCATTCCTGTGACTTTTTATTTTGGTTTATATAATGACTTTCAGCTTTCTAACCTAGTCCTCTTTTAAATTCCAGACATGTATGTTGAACCAGAATCTCCCTTGATATCAAAATGAGTACAGATTTTTACTTGTCTACTTTTTAAATCCACTTGTCTTATTAATGTTCCATCTCCTCAGTAAATGGCATTTCCATTTGTACTTTTGCTGAAGTTAAAGGAAGGTTTAAGTGCTTGGGTTTGAATCCCACTTCTACTTTTATCTACTTATATGAACATGCACCTTTATTCTGCATCTGTACAATGGGAGCATTATAACACCTACCTTAAGGATAAATATGGTAATTAAAATTATCAAAGTTTTTTGTTGTTGGTAAATGCCGTGGAGTTTGTTCCAACTCATAGCGACCCTGTATAGAGTTTCCAAGTAGCATCTGGTGAGTTTGAACTACTGAACTTGTGACTCAAAACCAACCTTGCAATCCAGTTCTTTATCCTACAAACCACACAAGGACTCTAAGTATAGGTACCACAAATCTGGTGTAACACTGTAGGATAAGCAATGGACTGCTAACCTCAAGGTTGACACTTCAAGCCCACTAGCTGCTTCTTGGAAATTCTGTACAGGATTGCTTTGAGTCAGAACCGACTTGACAGCAGTTAAGAACAGTAATAACAATCTTCATCATAAGAATTTGTAATCTCTTTCTCCTTCATTCTGTACATGTAATTTATCACCAAATACTGTGGTGGTTGTTGTGAAGTGCCCTTGAGTCAGTTACAACTCACAGTGACTTGGTTTTGGGTTTCTGAGGAGCAGGTGATAGGTTTGAACCACTGACCTTGTGATTAGCAATCTAGTATTTATCCTACAGTGCTGTATCACGAGTCCTAAGTACTGGGGTGGTGGTAGTATTAAGTGCTGGTTGAGTCAGTTCCGATTCAGAGTATCTGGTGAGTTGAACCAACCTTGTGGTTCAAACCGAGTTTGCGGTCCAGTGCTTTATCCTATAGTGCCACACCAGGACTCCAAAATACAAAATAAGTGGGTAGATCCAAAATGCAGAGTATTTCAGATCTACCTACTTTTGTCTTCTTGCCACTTCTCCAGACCAGTCTCCTATTTCTCTTTCCTGAAATAACTAATTGTGTAGCGTTTCTTCATTCCCAACTTTAATTTATTCAGTACATGCACCATTCAGAGTCATCTTTTAAATCAGATCATTCCGCTTTTTAAAGCCCCTTTCAGCATAGTTGATTTTAAATCGCAAATGCATAACAGCGTATATTCTCTGTTATCCGCCTGACTTAAACCTTGCTTTCCAGACTGATCTTGTACCAGTTTACCTCACAATGCTCCTGTCACTAATTTCCCCCTAACAATTCCACTCATTTTTAATATTTCATCTTAAATGCCTCTTTCTCAGAGGTACTCTTTGATCTTCCTAACTAAATCAGGTTCCTCAGTTGTAGTCCATTATCCTAAGTTTGTACTTTCCATATTTGAGGATGTAGTGCTGGTAGCGTAGTGGTTACAAATAGGGCTGTGAACCTCAAGGTCAGCAGTTCGAAACTACCAGCTGTTCCACAGGAGAAAGATGAGGCTTTCTGCTCCCATAAAGATTTACATCCTCAGAAACCCTGTATCGGATTGCTCTGAGTCAGAACTGACTCCACAGCGCACCACCACCACCAGTGCCTTCCAAACGCAGGCTGAGGAAGTTTTAAAAACTTTTGCACTGTCAAAGGACTAATTATGGTACAACTGGAATTCCAACGCAGGACTGGCTAGGCTTGTGTCCTTTCCATGTTTCCTCCTTTGCTGCCTTGAAGGCAGAAAAGGACATGTAAGTCAGATTCTAGGTTTCAAAACATGACCTGACTATTCTATCTAACCATTAAATAAGAAGCGTTCGTAGCACAGTGGGTTAAGCAATTGGGCTGCTAACCAAAGGGTCAGTAGTTTGAACATACTAGCTTACTCCTCTGGAGGAGGATGAGGTAGAATGTCTAGAATAAGTTGTGAAATAAAGTAGTTTGTACCTTAACGGATTATTTCCCTTGAAAAAGAAAGAATTAACCTTAAATATTTTTATTTTGCTTTAGGAATTAAGTGATTTGCAACGTGATCCACCAGCTCACTGTTCAGCTGGACCTGTGGGAGATGACTGTAAGCTTTGCTCTGTTGTAAGGATTTTGCTACCATTAACAATACAGGTTTGAACATTTGTTAATGACTTCAAACTCCTTTGTTTGTTTCAGTGTTCCACTGGCAAGCAACTATTATGGGGCCTGTAAGTATGATTCATGTATACGAAATTAATCCTCTCAGCCATCATTCTTGCCATTTCACCTTCAGATGCTTGTGGCTACGGTTAAGTTTTCTTGTGTTATGAACCCTCAGAAAGCAAAATATGATCAAGGACACATGACTTTCTAGTGAGTGCATCAGTGGCAAAATACTTTCTGTGGTTATTGTGAATCTTTTCCTTTGCCAAATCCTTGATCATTATACATAGTAACAGGTCACCCATAATTTGTAACCAAGTTTGTTTGCTTTATCGTTTTGTTTTGTTTTGTTTTAACACACAAATTCATTTGTTCAGATCTAAGAATGATCCTTCTCACATCACCAGTTTTAGTAGGTCATCAGTAAGTCTAGTTAATGCAACACTCTGCATTGTTAAGTGAGAGAGAACTGATAAAATGTTGCACTGGGTCTGTTTTTGCTAACTTATGATTTTGTTGCTTTTAATTTTGTTGCATTGTCCTGAAGACCTAATTACCTGCTGTCTTATGACTTCTCTTAATTCTTGTCATTCTTGCTGCTATTGTTTCTTTGTAGACGAAAGAGCATTTAACACTTGGAACAGGCTTTCTGTCTTGAGCAGAAATATCTGGTCACCTCAGAATGGGCACTGACAGCTCAAATCAGCATTCTGGGATAGAGTGTAGCATAGTGTGTCCTAGGGCTGCCAAAACAAAATACCACAAAGAGGGTGGCTTTTGAAAACAGAATTTGATTTTCCCATAGTTCAGGAGCTTAGATGTCTCAATTCAGAGTCTAGCTGGGGCGGGTGTGCGGTAGGAGGTCCTTGTTAAGCTTAGCTTGGCGTTCCTGGGTCTATAGATGCATCTGTCTCCATAATCTGTCTTCCCTGCTTGTCTGTTTATGTTCTGCTATTTTTGTATCCCAGAAGTGATTAGGTTTAGGATCTATCCTGCTTTGATATTGGTGCATTAACATAACAAAAGAAAACACCTATTTACAAGCATATGTACAAGTTAGGATTTCAATACATACATTTTTTTTTTTTTTTTTTTGGATGCAGTTCAATCCATACCAGAGTACCTTAGTGAAATGTGTCCATGAACATCATTCTCTTTTCCCTCTCCTGAAAGAAATTTTATTTAGTAAGCCAGAAACTTTTTAATCGTATTGCCATGTGTTAGTCTTAAAAAAAACAAAATAATAATGAATTTTTCAGAATAGGGCTCTAAGGCTAATGTCTCAAATAACTAAATTAATCTGGTTATCTTTTTTAAAAAGGGTAAAAGTGTGTATGTATTTAAGTAACAACTCAATAAGAATCAAGTTCTTTTTGATTTTCATTGCTTACTGAGAACCTTCAAAATGCTGTCCTTTAAAGGCCCACCCTTATCATATGAATTGTAGCCTTTCAGAAATACTGCTTAGGTGAATCTCATGTAGTAAATGATTACAATTGTGTTGTTCATACCCCCATGTTAATAATGTAAATATGTCACTCTATCACCAGCTGCTCCTTATGAGTCGTTACTGATTCGACGGCACTTAACAACAGACAACAACCTATTACTCTGTAGTGTTATGTGAATATAAAAGCCACCCTTAACTCTGTTTGCTTACATTTTCTGCATTCCATATAATTTCTGATGAACTAGAATTAAGCAATATGAATGGTAAGAATAATTATAAATCACCATCCTATACATGTATAAGAGGAAATAATAATAACCTTGCTGTTATCATCAAAATGTTAATATAGTACAATATATTTAGTTGGATATGAAAGATTTAAATACAATTTTAGATGTATTTTACTACCTTTTTTCTTTTTTTTATCATCTTTTAAAAATTGTAATATAAATGTTTTTCAATTGCCATGAATAAATATAGCCAACTTTAAATTGCCCTTGGAAAGTTGATTTGATATTTCTATGAAGATTGAGATTTATTTAGCTTTGTTTGGGCTTTTTTGTTTTGCTCATCATTGAATCTGAGTGTAAATTAGCTTTAGTCTTTTGAATAATGCACTTGTTGTTGTTGTTAAGTGCCGTCGAGTCGGTTCTGACCCATAGCGACCCTGTACAGGGTTTCCGAGGGTGTAAATCCTTACGGGAGTAGAAAGCCTCATCTTTCTCCCGCGGAGCGGCTGGTAGTTTCGAACTGCTGACCTTAAGGTTCGCAGCCCAATTCGTAACCACTACGCTACCAGAGTAATAATGCACTAAGAGAGTACAATTTGGAATGGGAAGTGACATTGAGTGGTTAACTGTAGGATAGTTTCCATATTATTTTATAAACTGTTACTATCTGAAGATTTGAGGTCTAAATTGTCTAACATTGTCACTTTGCCTTTTATTTTCATAACTTGGTCCCTTTGGTTTATTTTCTGTTCTGGCTTCTTAAATCAGAACTTCATATTATAAATTAGGTGGTATATACTTGTCCTAAAACTTTTTCCATGCTGATTACTATATCAGAAAATTTTTTTTTTCTTACAACAGTCTTGTGTGTGTTCTGATCTTAAAAAATTTGTACTCATAACAGATTTATTTAGGCAAGTCACACCACTCTGTGTGTGTCCTATTTTTGTTTTGTTTTAAACTCTGTGATGTCAACGTAATTGGTTGGAAAATCCTCCTTCACACCTGCAGAGAAAGGGAAACCTATTTTCAAGGTAAATGATTTGAACTTATGGCAAAAAGAAGGCTTTTTCCCCCCCGCCAAGTAGATAATCTTTGGGCGAAAGTCATGTTAAGTTATAAAATAAGTATAGTAATCAAACACTGACGCGAATGTTTTGTGATTGCAGCCTGATAGCGCATATCAAGGTGGAGTCTTCTTTCTCACTGTACACTTTCCGACAGACTATCCTTTTAAACCACCAAAGGTATTTTTATTTTTATGATTGATATGATTCCCAGCTGAGGGATTCTACTCTGTCTAGGGGTATTTTCATGATTTTAAAGACTGTGAGGTGAATCTAAAGTCAGCCTTCTGGGGGCCGTTGTAGGTAGTATAGATGTAGACTTCTGGCTAATGCACTTGACTACAGGTACCATCAGTCTCTTTCAGCAGAGCTGTCAAATGAAGACAAACTAGGAAGAAAGTCCTGGCAATCTGCTTTAAAAAATCAACCCTTACTTCCCCCAGACCTTATGGGTCACAAAGCACCAGTCCTGCTGTGCGTGGGGTTACCATGAGTTGGGAGCCTACTTCATGGCCCCTAGCAACAATAAAAACTTAAAATCAGAGTGACAATAAATAGGCTTTCTTACTCAAATATTTATTACGTCTGTGAAACAAACAGCGAGTGTTCCTGACCGTACAGATTTTGTTCCTTTCCTGTCTTTTCCTTCTTATTCCATATGCTTAGTTCAGGAAAGTTTAATGGTCAAGAATCAGACTTTTCCAAAACCCAGGAATTAACTTCCCAGTGTTGACCCTGGCCCTTTCTTTCACAGTTTTTTAGTGTCCAATGAACACTTGTTGAACACCTGCCATGCTCTGTTACTTTGGAGAAATTAAAGCAAATATGACATTCCCTTTTGTTTGGCGTGTTGGGAGAGATAAAAATATTCTTACTAAATTTAATTTGGATTAGATTTAAATAGGAAACAAAGAAGGGAAAAAGTTTTAAGTTTCTGTCAGAAAATAATTATTTTAGATTTTTAAAACAATTAACACTTATGTGAAATGATACCACTTCCTTTGGAAAGAAGATTAAGCTTTTTGCTAGCTTTGTTAGGGTGGGTAACAAACAGAGGTCTTTAAACTTTCCCTTGCAAAGCAGAGTTGGCACTGCATTTTTAGATCTAGGATTCACTTCAGGTCTCATGAAAAATCAATTTAAGAAAGGATTACTCTGAGGCATGAAGGAAGCCAGGGTTAATTATTTCAGATGCTGTTCACCCAGTCCACACCAGCTACTGAACACTATTCATTACACTTTCCAAAAGACTCCCGAGTCCCTTGAGGAAGAGCTGAGGGAGAACGACTTAACTTGCTTTCACAATGCCAAGACCTAGAACTGTACGTTACATAGAGTGGATGCTCATTCAGTGGTTCAGTACATTTTGCCTCTAAGATCATGTAAAGCTCAGGACATTTTTCCCGAGCAAATTGGTTTGGTTTTGTTCCTACTTCATGGATTGTCACATTTTTTGTGTATGTGTTTGTTTTACGTGCAGATTGCTTTCACAACAAAAATTTACCATCCAAACATAAACAGTAATGGAAGTATTTGTCTCGATATCCTGAGGTCACAGTGGTCACCAGCTCTGACTGTATCAAAAGGTAATTTGATTTATTAGATTTATACTGAGCTTATAGCAGCAAGATACAAAATGCAGGGCAAGTATCTAGGGAGCAAAGTTTTTTTTTTTTTTTTAAATCTGTTTTCTCATGTCTTGATTTGCATTTTCTTCTATAGCTCCTGTTATTCTTTGTCTCTTACCAGTTAGCTTAGGGGAGCTGATGGGCAAAATGTAAGTCATAATATTATAAGAAACTGAAAATGTTAGTGCTAGAAAAAAAAGAGAGAGAAAGTAAGAGACAGATGTCAAAATAAGATTTTAGCACCAGTTGTTCACTCATTAATTGGCATAATGAATAAGGCTTTACATTTGATATACTTCCCCAAGAAGAAAAATGAAATTTGGCCAATACAATAAATAATTAAAAATGGGGACACTTTATATTTTAGTGTAGTACCAGTGCATGTAACATGTACATCTAAACCTTGAGTAATCAGCAGTATCACTGTAATGACTGGCTGGCACAGTCTCCGCTGATCTTTACCTTTCACCATGTGGAACACTGGTTCTTTGCTCAGTTAACAGATGTGTATATAGGCCATCTGAAGCCGTTTCTGCTTACTAGCCAAAACTATTTGCTATGCCAGGACTCTTAATTTGTGTCTTATTTTTCTAACAGAAGAAAACCTGACCTTTGGAAAATACAGATTGGGTTACAAGTATCTACCCTAAAGTAACTAGTTTTAGCTGTCCTTTTTTATAGAATATAAGAAAATTATATCTCTTGAAGGATTATGGGTGAATCCATGATCAATTCTTTCCGTCTAAAAATAAATACTACCTGAAGGTGTAGCATGTTTTTTGGAAGTGCTAAGGGGCATAAGGCTGTGAGTGAATGCACCGTCCTGCAAAGTCATTTGAACTTCAAGGACGACAGTATAAGCTCACCAGCCACTCCTTGGAAACCTTACATAGTGTCACTATGGGTCAGAACTGACTCGATGGCACTTAACAGCAACAACAAGGTATCTATAAGATCAGGGTCAACCATCATAATTGTCTTAAATATTAGGTTAATAATAGTTCTGCGGTCTATTTGTGAAGTACATTGTTTCTGACCTAAGACATTCTTCTAAAATGTTCATGTAAATTTTAGGTTCCTTTTTAAATCTTTCACATGTATAACTCTTGTGCACTAGCTGTATGAAAGAGCCTATATGAGAGAATTTATTCAAATTAATACACTCTTTCCTGGAATCGGTGTCATGAAATGCAAGCCATTTGGCATAATCAGCTAAGTACTTATACAAGAAATGGCAGGCTGCCAGATGCTGAGCAGCACTTATCTTGTCTCCTGACATTGGTAGCTTTTTATAGAGAATAATTAGTATTGTTGGCTTCTGGAAATGTTGTCCTTTAAGAATTCAAGCAGCCTCAGTTGCCTCCTATGTAAGATAAGGATTTTAATATACTATCAACTAGGGTCACTGTAAGGAGCTCTGGTAGCGTACTGGTTACAAATCTGGCTGTGAACCTCAAGGTCAGCAGTTCAAAACTACCAGCTATTCCATGGGGGAAAGATGAGGCTTTCTGCTCCCGTAAAGATTTACAACATCAGAAACCCTGTACAGACTCACTGAGTCGGAAACGACTCCATGGCACATAAACAACCAAACCAAAGGGTCATTGGATTCCTAGTGTGGCACTTGTAGGATAAGCACTAGACGTCAAGGTCAGTTTGAAAAGCAAGGTCAGCGGTTCAAACCCACCAGCCACTCCTTGTAAACTCTATACAGGGTCACTGCAAGTCAGACCCAACTTGACAGCACATAATAATAGGGTTACATCCGGATTGTAGAGCTGTAGGATAGATACTGGACAGCTAGCCATAAGGTGACCCAAGCCATGGTATTTTCAGTAACCTCATATGCATGCGAAAGCTGGACAGTGAATAAGGAAGACTGTAGAAGAATTGATGCCTTTGAGTTATGGTGTTGGAGGAGAATATTGAAAGTGCCATGGGCTGCCAAAAGAACCAACAGATCTGTGTTGGAAGAAGCGCAGCCAGAGTGCTCCTTAGAGGCCAGGATGGCCAAACTTCATCTATCATACTTCGGACATATGGTCAGGAGGGACCAATCTCTGGAGAAGAATATCATGTTAGGTAAGGTGGAGGGTCAGAAAAGGAGAGGAAGACCCCCCAGCAAGGTGGATTGGCTAAGTGGCAGCATCAGTGGACTCAAGCATGGCAACAGTAGCGAGGTTGGCCCAGGATTGGGCAGTGTTTCCTTCTGCTGTGCATAAGGTTGCTATGGGTCAGTACCGACTTGATGGCACCTAACAACAACAACAAACAATAAGATCAGCAGTTTAAACCCACCAGTCACTCCTTGAAAACCCTATGCAGGGTTGCTATGGGTCAGAACCCAAAACAGGGTCACTATGAAGGGGTCCTGATGGTGCAGTGATTGAAATGCTGACTGAGACGTTTGAGTCCATCATGCATTCTGCAGGAGCCAGCTGAGACAGTGTGCTGTGTCAACATGCAAAGCCTCAGAAACCCTTTGGAGCAGTTCCTTATCTTAAAACATTTGGTTTGTCTATGATAGTAAAGTCAGGGCAAGTGGCTCATGGTGTCTAACATGGGAAATAAGGAATTTCATTCTTGTTTGTTTTATAATGCTCCCTCATACTGCACTCATTTTTTAACACATATTTTACTTTTCTCTATTTCAAATATGTTTTCTTCTGCTTTTTTATCATGGACATTGTCTCTAGAAGCATTCTGGAGGTAAAATCAAAAGGCTATACCAGAAAACCTACCCTGTTGGTTTAATATTATAAGGCTTGAAATTTCAGTGCAGGTAGGGAAGGTAAGGAAGATGAGTAAAATTTACTTTTTTCATTAGCCATTATCACACCCTTCCTGTACCGTTTAAGAGTCAACTCTACTATACATAACCCAGTTTTGAACTAAAAAAAGGGTAGGAAAACATACAGGGGAAGATAGCAGAAGAGAGTGGATATGGAAAGTTGTTCCAAGGATTCCACATACCGCTTCAGAAGTGTTGACATACAATTGAAGCAGCCAAATGAGGAATTAGAATTCTTGTTCCCTTCTATTGCAGATACTTAGGTCTCTTTCTAAAAAGTATAGTTGTTTCCATTTATATTTTGACCTAAAGTAGGAAACAAGAAATGTTTTTAATTGTTCACTTATATTGCGATGTATGCAGGTTATTTAGAGATAGCTCATCACATTATTGTTAAGTGTATGTGATACCAGTAAGGTACATGGACAAACAAAGATTTGTTGAACAAATCGTAGAAGTCTCCCTTCTTTGTTGACAGTCTAACTAACAATAACCTAAAGTGAAGCGGCACATGAACATGATCTCCAAATGGTTTGGAATACTAATGGTAATTTCGTTGCTTTGCCTTGAATTGATTAGTTCGTAGACTCTCTGTATTGAATTAGAAAAAGAAATAGACAGTTTTGCATTAAGATATAAAAGTGTACCTATAAGAAACATCTAAAATTAATTAGCATACCAGTCGGAAAAGTTTTCAATCATGTACCGTACATACCATTTGGGTCATGTGTTCATTATCTAAAAAAATATTTTTTGTAGAGAATGCTTGAGTTTAAAGGTTGTTAATAACTATTTTAGGTCCCTAGGTGGAACACACAATTTGTGCAGGACAGCTAACCTAAGGCTAGGTAGTTAAATCGCAGAGCTAACGTGGAAGAAAAGGCCTGCTGATGTGCTCCCATTAAGATTACAGTCAAGAAGCCTGTGGAACAGTTCTACTCTGTAACTCCAACAACAACAGGTACTACAGAGGCTCACATTGTTCAAATCAAAGTTGCAATAGAATTTAATTTAAAAAATTAAACATATTGCCAACCGAAATTAGTGTAAAAATTTAGTCAATAACAGTTCTTTTAATTTTATGTTTTCTTTATAAGTTTAGTACCTGTATTCGGTGAAATTGTTTTCACATGTGTATAAAATAAAAAGATGATTTATCTAATGTGATGTTGTTCTCTTTTAAATCTAGTATTATTATCCATATGTTCTCTACTTTGTGACCCTAATCCAGATGACCCCTTAGTACCAGATATTGCCCAAATCTATAAATCAGACAAAGAAAAGTAAGTGTTTATCTGTATAATAGTTTCTGTTGGAGTATATTTCTATGTAGTTTGCTAAAACATTTTAAGAGGATTATCAGTATATTTAAGTACACTTAATTATGCTTATTATGCTTCTGTGGAATAAACGTTTCTAACTCTACTTGTGGCACTGTGGGATAAAGCACTGGACCTCAAGGGCAGTTTTGAACCACAAGGTCAGTGGTTCAAACTTACCAGCTGCTCCTTGAAAACGAGATCACTATGCATCCGAACTGAATCATTGGCACTTAATAACAGTGACAACAATAGTTTTTATTAAATACGTATTTTTTTGTTTCCCGTTTACTGTTTAATCCTTTAATATTTAAAATTAACTTATTTGCTTAGTACTGCACTTTTTTTAATGGAGGACAACTATGATTATCGATGGTAAATTAAAAATGAAATGAGTTAATCATGGGAAAGGTATTTGTATATTGTGTTCCTTATCTTTTCTCAGGAAAAGAATTTGTCTCTAAGCCTCCCTCCTCCACCCCCCTTCACCTGACCTAATTTTCAAGGTGTTTCATTTTGCTGATAACATAATTCATTTTGCAGTTTGCAGATAATGCCCTTTCAGAGTTGTCTTTCTTGCGTTTCTATTAGAATTGAGTTCTCCATTTTGTTGTTTATGTTTTAGGTAGATTTTCATATAGGTTGTAGAGAAACCCCTAAAAACCCATGATTTAAAAAACCCATTTGTTTACTGTTTTAATCATGACTCTCATTGACCCCACTAACTGTTATGTATGGGATTATTGTAATTGAGCATAAAAATGTAGAATATGCAGTTTCATATAGTAAGATGTTTCTAAATGATGAAATTTGTATGTATTCCTTTTGTATACCTACAGATACAACAGACATGCAAGAGAATGGACTCAGAAATATGCAATGTAAATTCAAAATTTTTTTCATATATACCAGAGTACTGTAAAATCTAGTTTTCTTTTTCCCAATATTAGCAGTAAATTGAGCACTGTTTACTGTTTCAGTGTACCATGAGACCCTTTGATTTTTATCTGTTTTAAATGTGTTTCTGAAAAGCAAGACAAAACAAACTTCCAAAAATGCCCACAAGACTGTGACAAGAGCAGGTACCATTTTTGTATGCATTGAGAAGGACATTTATTGTGGATTTTAAGATACCTGGACATCTGCATCTTCAGCTTACAAGATCTACAATGCAGCTGAAAAGCAACCAAATTATTTTTTTGCTGAAACTAGGTGTTTTTACATGAAAAATACTGTATGTGTTGTCTAAGATGTCGTCAGTTTTATAAATCTGTCTTCAGATCTCATTCTTTGTTAGCTCACTTTATAATTTGTATTTTTTTACTGTATAGACAAAATATATTCTATTTACTATGTGTGTCCACTCATTACTTTTTTTTCCTGTGAACAGTATTGAAGAAACTCAACAGCTAATAATTAAATGAATTAACTATCTGTCTCCTTTGTCTTAGGATACTCTGTAGATTGATGGATGATTTCTGAAACCTGAAATGATCTTTACACTGTAATTCTCAATATACTGATTATGGAGAAACACTTGTTTTAATTTTGTTATACTTGACTGAACGTTATTGCAATGTGAATTAATTGCACTGCTAAGTAGGAAAATGTGTAACTTTTATTTGTTGCTATTCACATTTGAATTTTTTTTTTCTGTATAGGCAATATTATATTGACACCTTTTACAGATCTTAATGTAGCTTTTTCCATATAAATAAAATGCTTTTTCTACTACTTGTCTTCATTACTTATGAGAAAACAATTTAATTTTACTTTAGCTATAAGTAAGCATCAAAACTCTATTAAAATTTTGCATGAAAATTAATTCCAACTTGTGAGAGCAGGGCCTGTTGTGTTGGCGTAATCACTGTTGATTGGGCAGGTTCGTTTGCTTTAGGTTGGTGGCTAAATTATCAATCTACAAGGTGATATGCACTGCTTTGTTGTTAGATTGGAGCGTTTAGAGTGAGTTTGGGGATCATCTTGGGTCACATGAATTCACTAATGAAATGAGTATAAGGCAGTGTCATGCATACCGAAGAAAATATCATCTAAAACAATTGCTAGGTTAATTAAAATGCCCTCTAGATGCAATTAGCATATTTGTTAAAAAAATTTTAAACTGGAACTTATAAAATAGGATTCTAATGCCATCATAATTTGAATGATAACATTCTCTTTTTTTTTTTTTTTTTAACTATAGAAGCTATAAAGAAAACACTAAAACAATGCTTCCCTTTGTTTTTAAGGTAGCAAGTTATTACAACTTCTAAAGAAAACAAGAAATTTCTCATGTTTTAAAAGGGAAAAAAATTACATCTCTATAATTTTTACTTGCTTATCAAATTTGAATGAACTTCATTTTTAAGGACAGTTGTAGCTCTTCCAATTATTGGATTGGTTGTATAACTGTGTAAGAATCTCTTGATTAATGGCGTTGTTAACAAAACCTTTAAGTTTTACCTAGGTTCATTAGTATTAAGGTACAAATTAACCTGTTGTTAGAATATATGCCATGATTTTTATTAATGAATATGAAGTCATTTAAATGAACTAAGAAATTAAGGTTTAAGAAAATGCAAACTAAAAAAGTAACTCATATAAGATATATCTTAAACAGTCATATCATGAGACATATTATTATAAACTACATTTGCCCTGATTTTGAACATCATTAGTTTTATATACTTAGTACATTTTAATAATCAAGGAATTTTGCCCTTGAATATCGTTCACTATTAAGCTTTCATTTGTATGACGTTTATTTTTGAAAGTGTCTTTTTAAAATAAAAACAAAATTAAAATCTTTGAAACCTGCCTAGCCATTGTTTGCCTTTGCTTATGGTTGAATTGTATAGTCTACTGAGATGTGAGCACAAGCTCTCATCATCAGTCCAGAGCACAGTGGTGGTGTAATGATCAGGCTGATCGCTTATTTGGGTATATTAATTTTGCATTATTTGACTATATTATTTTTTGCTTAATTCTATAAAAAGAATATCATTTACCTTTTAAAACTCAATTCAAGATCAGGGGCCTTATCAATTGAGTGTTAATTTAAGGGTCTCGTTGGAATGAAGGAACTCAATAACTTGTTGGAGACTTAGGATCCCCTCCTCTTGAAGTCCTGAAGTCTTCAAGGTATACTTGAAAACTATTCAGATGTTTATAATTGCCACATACAAAAAAAAAAAAATCAGTGATACAGACAGGTTGTGAGGGCAACTGTTCCCACCCCTCCCCCATCCCTCCTACTATCTCCATAACATGGAATTCTCAAGCCTGGGCTTTGCACATATGCTGCCCATGTTAACCATGTGTAACCACTTACCTTCGCCCAGGAACTCCAATAGGGGGAATTATTATTTAGTGAACACAGCATGAGCACAGCCCTGAGAGTTTAATATCTAAATGAATTCTCTCAAAATTAATGAGAAAAATGCCATATTGTAGTTGTACATTTCTTTTATTATTTTACCAGAATCTGTCTTTTTATGTGTGATTCAGTCATTGGTATTTAACAAGATTCCATTCTCACAATTCTATCTTTTGAGATAGAAGGACTGGGAGATTTAATATCCCTCATGGATTAAAAGAGCATCTTTTATGTCATGACTATTCATTCATTGGGAGTCAGTCTGAACTGGACTCAAAAGTCCAGTCCAGTCCAATTGATGATGCTTTAAAATTTGACCTTGTGGTAGAATCATTAGTCTTCTAACTCATTCTTGTTAGGACCAGTCATGGAAGCTATGATTAGCTGTGATTTAGTGTGGTCATATGTAAGTAGAGCTTAAATATATTCAAATTGTTGGATTTAATCTATTAAGAGACAATAGAGTATACTTCAAATTTTTTTAGTTTATTATGTGATAAAACATTAACAGAAATCTGAATTTTAAAAAATTCAGTTTGATCACTTTATTAGCTACAAGACTTTCAAAAAAAATTATCTTTAAAGCAAAGCGGAGGTTTCATCACAATGTAATAGTCCTAAAGTGTAATGCAGATTATTTTTCAAAGTATTTTTATAATACTTCTCTCTTACTGCACTGACTTGTTACTGCACAATATCAGATAGAGGTTCATCATTTAATTTTCCTTATAAAAATTGCCATGTGTAGATAACTAGTTATTCCTATTCCTTTTTTTTGGAGGGGGTGTTAATATCTGCAATCTCTTCTTAGAAAGTAATTGATACTTTTTTTCAGTAGTGTTGATAACAGAATTTATAGGCAGCTGATACGTTTGGTTTTAGAAACAACTCTCAATGCAGTAGTGTCTTGGTGATTGTCTAATAAATGCTACGTCACTTGTGTTAACATTTAAAGTTCTACTTCTATTAGCTTTTTATACTATAAGAATGTAGAATCAAATTTTAAATAAACTAGTAGGAAAAAGGAGTATGAACTTAAAAATATTAGATGCTGGAGTATTTTGTATAATAAGATCCCTTTTTATAAAATCATCTTTTAGCATTCTCTTAGGTCTTGTAGTGATAGTGGGAATGGTGTGCCCTTCACACCTCATGAGGGTACTGTCACGTGGGTAAGGTGTGACGTATGCTTTCCACATATAGCTTACTTGATAGGAAAAGTTGTGTTACAATCTCACTAGTGTTGAAAACACATTTGCATACTTGCACATTATGAGCTATGTAGGAAATATTTAAATAAGAACTTTTACTTTAAATATTATAAAAAACACAGGTGACACCGCTGGTTTTGGCAGTATGACCACCCACTCACTTGGTGTATCACTAGGCGGTCTCTCAGGGCTCATCATATGGTTGCAGTCATGGCTAAGATTTTTCCAGTGACGTGGCAAGGATACACAGTCCTCAGATCAGTAAGGAGAAAAGAGACACCAGGTAGAGGCAAGAGGGAGCCATATGTAGGTGCCCTGTGTTCTTTTGAAGGGTAAACAGCATGAACTCTCACTCCAGCAGTGAAATATATTCTGAGGGGGCTTTTTTTCCCCCCCTGTATGGATTTGGTTGCCTCAGCATCACTCACTGCGAAGACTCTTCTTTCACCGTACTGCGTGTCAACTTTGCCATGAATCAGATGATGCATTGCTGCCATTATGTGCCATCAAGTCGATTCCCACTCATAGTGACCCCGTATAGAGTTTTCAAGGAGCAGCTGGCGAGTTGGAACTGCCGACCTTGTGGTTCACACCAACCTTGGGGTCTAGTACATTGTCCCACAGTGCCACACCAGAAGTCCAGAGTTCCAGTTCATACATGCATGGGTTTATTCCATATAAAATGTATCTAAACATGTCTCTGCTATTGGTGGGTGGCTGCAGACAAGTTATCTCAGTATTATGCCTGTCTATCTCATTTGGTGCCTTCCAAAAATAATGCAAGCAAAACAGTGGCTTCCACAGGGATCTGCTGGGCCAGTTACGTTCAAGGCAGAGAGGTCAGCTCAGAATGTTATGGTGATTGTATTTTTGGATTCCAAAGGAGTAATCTTGATGGGTTTTATTGAAGTACATGGGATGATCACAGAGGCTTATTATGAAGAAATTCTAGGAAAACTGCATTGGGGAGAAAAAGGGCAAAGAAAATTGCTCAAAGGAATTCTTGTCCATCAAGGCAGTGTACCTGCTTATTCTTTGAGGACAGCAAGGACTGGCCTGTGAGAATTCAATTGGGGAACCTTACCCCATCCACCACACAACCTTTATCTTGCCCTTTAAGATTTCTTATTCCAAGAACTCAAAGAAAGGAACAGAATTTAAGTGCCACGAGGATGTTAAAACTAGATAATGGCTTTTCTATTCCATAATACTTAAGGTCCTAGGCTGAGGGTGGGTACTGGAGTATTTTGGAGATTTCTTCATGTATACGTTTGCTACCTGGGCAAAAAGTTTTGAATTATCTTGAGTAAACTGGAACACCAGAAATGTAACAACTAGAATGCAATTAGTGAGAATGTTTTCACATTATGAAAAAATGTAATGTCACTGAATAACTTGTGTAGAAATTTTTTGTATACTTCTTAGTGACATCATTTATATTGGCCAAGCTGTGCACACTTCACCCACATTTGGTGTTATATTTCCCACCCCTCAAAATAAGTGTCTTATCTAGAGAATGATCTCCCCCTCCTCAAATATTTACTGAATAAATGAATGAACTGGGCCTTGGAAAATACATAGGATTTTACCTGACATACTGCAGTGGGCCTTATTGGTGCTATAAGGTTAAACACTGGACTGTTAACCACAATATCATTGGCCTCCATATGTGAAAGAGGAGGCTTTTCCCTCTAGTTAAGAAGGCTCACTATGAGTTGGAGTTGACTGGATGGCAGTGGCTTGTTTTCTGTAGGGAAGGTATTAAAATAGTGGAAATCAAACAAAGTAGAAGCAAATGTAAATGCCTCTGCTGTTAGTGAGAGGATATGACAAGATGGCAAATTCGCTGGAGGTGAAGCCGTGATGGTGCTGTGGATCATGTGTTAGGCTGGGGCAGTTCAAACTCACCTGGCAGCTATGGAAAATGAGGCTGCCTGCTTCTGTAAAGATTTACGGTGTTGGAAACCCTACTTTGTCTTAGGAGTTTGAATTGACACCCTGGTAATAGGTTTGGTATGGGGATTTTGGGGAAAAGTCAGTATGTTTTTGAACTGCTAAGTAATAACAATGAAAGCATTTGCTTATTAAGTGTAGGCCAGTCAGTTCAGACCCATAGTGACCCTGTATAGAGTTTCCAAGGAGAGGCTGGTGCGCCTGAACCACTGACCTTGTGGTTCAAACT